CATAGAATTTTCACTCAATCCCCTACTGGAACCTCAAGTTTTCCTCAATTCAACAACTCCACTTCCCGAATCCCCCTCACCCAAGTCATTTTCCCTTGTGTCACCTCCCATACTACCAAGATCGACAGTTGTGGGCTCTCCCACCGCACAATCAAGGATTTGATCTTCGGACGAGGTAAAACACTGCTCAGGAGGAGTATGAAATTCCAATTCATCATCGTAACATGTACTTTGGTCAATAGAGATGTCGTTGTCGGTAGAACAACCATGACAATTCCAGTATGTTTGGATGAAGTGGGAGCCAGAGAGGATGAAATCGGGTCAGCATTCGAATCTGCAAATGTCTCGGATTCAAGGGCAAAGAGGCAAGTTAGTAATTTTGATTCCTAGAAAGGGTTTGTCTTCCTTCTCTTCTCTCATTAAAAGAAGGGAAATGAATACTGATTAGTACAGCGAAGAGGGGGAAATAAAATTGGACGAAAATGCTCCTGTTTAATTTGGTCAAATTTGCCTCTCTTTTTTTTTTTTTTTTGAGGTCAACTGACGATGGAACTAACGTTTTTCTTTATTTAGGACTGCATCTGCAAATTTCTCAAATGTTTGGGACTTGTGGTGGTACAAAGTGAAGATTGAGGTAAAGTCTTTAAAAAATAAAAGGTTTGGGACCGCGGCTGCAATTTTTCCTTTTTATATGGTTATCTGTCAAACGGCGACGTGGGACTGGATTTTATGTGCTATAAGATTGCAACACATAAAATACTAGGTACAACCTAGAACAATGAGAAGACAGAGTCAAAGAAAGAGATATACATATGTATTACTAATTTTGGAAGAGAAAAGTGGACCCATTTGATTGGAAAAGCGGGCATTCCAGCACCACCACTTGATTATCCTTCAGTATTACAAGGATTCCTAAGCAAATAGAAATCAGACTCTTGCTATAAGATTTTCTAGTATTAATTAGGCCACATCTATATAATATGCTACTTTTTTTAGCAAACTCGAAAGGGACTTATTTTGGCATTAATTTCAAAATTTATCTTCAAGCACTCCCACATATTGCACCAAATACAAGAACCTGGCGGAGCCTACTTTCCATTTTGGACACATCTGAATGACTGCAGCAAGTTTTAGTCATTAGCCAAATGTTTATCACATAAGCTTGCAGCTAGAGTCCAACACGACACTACA